TTAAAATAGTGACTCTTGTTTCACACACAGGAGTGGGTCAGCAAAGTAGTTACTGGATAGGGACATTGCCATGCAGTTTGTGATTTGCTCTGGGTCAGGGAGGGTTATTTTGTTTTTGTTTTTAAAATCCCAAAATGTGTGGACCAGCAAGTAGCCAGTAGTCCCATATCTTCCCCCAGTAGTAGCTGCATACTGAATGGAGTGGGGGTGGAGGGGTCCTTATTCCCATTTGTGTTGCACTCAATGCAAAGCCTGGTTACTTAGATTTAGTGTGTGCCTTGGATTTAGCCCTAACAAATTAGGAAAGATAAAACTATCTAAGCCTGTCATTTTTGTCAATAATTGAGTGTGTATTTAGTCTGTGTTAAATCAGTTCTGTGAGCGGAAGGCATCTGGAAAGCTGTCATCAGTCTTTCCTCTTGGGCTTTCTCCATGCTGTATAAATCAGTGAATAATTAAAAGATTGCCTTATTGCAGCTGTAGCTGGGTGGAATTGGGAATCTCTAGTAAATTGATGTCTTTTAAATTTGCATAAAAATCTAGTCATTAAATCCTATACTAGTGACTTTTTGAAGCAGCTAATTATAGCTTTGTGATTTTTATAATGAAAATCATATTGCTGAAATCTGGAAGGAATCTTTTTTTTCAATTTAGATGCATGTTCCAGTAAGCTACCTTATGCAAACTTCTTTTCTTTTTTTTTCCTATGCATAAGAAACCTGCAGCAGCTCCTCCAAAAATTCTCTTACTGAACACCTGAAATTTGTTAAAACATTTCAGATGTTTCATATATTCATATTAGGATCTCAGGCTATTTTTTCATATTGTAAATGTAATGTATTGGGGAATGGAGTTAAACTCTTAATATACTGGATGTATGGAGATGTAAGACAACCTTTTCATCCACATGAAGAGTAAAAAGTATTATTGTTTTTATAATATCACAGAATTTAAGCCAGAAAGGACCACAAGCTCATCTAGTCGCAGGCCACTATGTGTCAACTATTTACCCTATACAGACCCAAACAACTTAATATTTGACTAAATAATCTTCCAGAAGAGCATCTGATTTTCAGATAAGACACAGGGAGAGAGAGGGAGGGAGAGAATCCACTGGTCTGCTTGGGTTGTCCAGTGGCTAATTACCGCACTGTTAAAACTATGCATTTGGTTTGAACTATTCTCCCCAAAGTCTTGTTATGCTTTTTCCACTAGATTAAAATTTCCCAGAATTTTCTTCCTGTGAAGATTCTTATACATTGCAAACAATATTTAGAGATGCTAAATATTCTTTTTGACATGCTAATAAGATTGAGCTCTTTGAGTTTCTTCCTACAAAACATTTTTTCAACACCTTGAATTGTTTTTGTGATTTTTAGTGCTTCCTCTTCAGTTTTCCGAATTCATTTTTAGTACAGGGAACACCAGAACTGTATTCAAGTATCAGTTCCCCAAAGCTGTATACAAAGGTAAAATTACCCCCTGCACTAAGTCAGTACTCCCCTGTTTATACATACAGAATTTTAATGCATATACTTTAAGGTGATTTTTTTTTTTTTATTGATCAGCTCTAGGTCAGAGCTTTGGACAGCCTTCTCAAAAATAAAAATTTAGGTAAATGTAGAATTTAGTCTTCCCAATCATTCAGGTCTCTGGAGCCATCTTTCCTTGCTATCACTGTAGTACATGATGCAGAGAGAAGATTCATCCACAAAAAACAGTCAAGTGAGCTCTCAAATACTTTGCAGGGGATGAAATCATCAATCTAATTCATGCATCATTTCTTGTATATATTTTCAGATTATTTTTATTTTTCTTTAACATCTTCTATATGTTATTTTGGTTTGAATGTAGAACACCAAGTAAAAAGCCAGGGCAAACATGCAAGATTGCCTTCTCCCTATATGCCTGGCAGTTGTTTTTGATTAAGCATTCCATACTAACAAAGGTTCTTAGCTTTTCATTTCATAAGCATAGTTTATTCTTTAGTTTTATGTTAATCCATGAACTAAAATGAAAAAAAATATTTTGAATACCTTTGTTTTAGGGAAATAAAGTGCATTCTTTAACATAAAATCCAAGGATTAAATGTGACCACATAAAATCCAAAATATTCCATCTTACCCTAATTTTTTCACATTTAGGAAAAGTCCTGAAAATGCTAACAGTCATTCAGAGCAACTCAAGGAGAAAGAAAAGCAAGGCTTTTTCAGGTCAATAAAAAAGAAGAAGAAGAAATCTCAAACTGTAAGTATATACAATTTCTGAAGCATACTATTATGTATTTTCCAGTGTTTTAAAGTTGCCACTGTGTAATGCATTAGATCAGTTCTATACTGCTTTGTTATACATGGATGTACCTCCGTGTATTTCTTCATTACTTTAACTTGTTTTCATTATGTAGAAGTTAGCTTCTTTTCCTGTTCAAGGTTTACCAATTCATGCATTCAAATATTATTTCCCCTACTGGCTAAACCATTCTACACTTATATGTTTGCTTTCATCTGGGATGCACAGAATTTTGTGACACTTCAGTGACACTTTTGTTGAAGGGTTTAAAGGGATTTTACAGCAGATTTTTTTTTTTATAGCAGATGGTGCTACTATCCCAGTGTAACAAGTACATAATTCTGTGACCCTGGAGTTGAATAGTCTACCCTATAGCTGCTAGCTGGAAAACTTAACAACTGAAATGAATAGGAACAGAGGAATAAAAGGAGGAGCTCTCTTCTCAACAGGGTCCAGAGCAGTGCTGTGCTGAGACCCTCCATCCTGTTTTATGTACCTTTGTGCCGGGAAAGAAGTGGGGGAAGGGGAGATCTGATGGGGTTAATTGATACTTATTCATACATCTCTTTTTTTATTTCTTTTTAATATCAGCTTTTGACTTATAGATGTCTTATAAATGCATATAGTTTTCTTCAGCTGCTGAAGAAAGTAGGAGCAGTCTGTTTTCTTTCCAGTCCGGAACCTTTCAGCAGCCGTGAATTAGTAATGGCAAGAGATCCCTAATGTGATACCAGACTCTCAACTTCTGTTTTTGGGGTCCTCCCACTGTAAACATCTTTTAATGCTTGTAACTTTCCCAAGCAGGAGCATGGAATGGACACACTTTTATACAGGTTGTCTATCTGTCTAGCTAGGAATTGTTACATGCCTATGCTAAAGGGATATAATACGGTTTCATTGCTCTGCATAGCATCAGAGAAAAAGACTATACATTTGTTAAATTAATTCTGATGTTCTTTGGCAAATCTCTGCCTGCAGGCTTAAGGAAATCAAGATTACCTTCAAATTTTCTAAGCTTTTCTTCAGAACTACATGGACTAGGAATGTATAGCCCACCAAACTCGCCAAGACAAGCTCTGTAAAAACACTTAAATGTTAGAAATCAGATCACTGTATTTCCGAAGACTGAATGTATACCACCGATGGGATCGATCGATCAATCGATCTATCTATCGATCTATATGTGTGTGTGTGTGTGTGTGTGTATGTGTATATGTATCTATATATATGAATAGGAGAGATTCAGAAACATAATATGATTTCATTTTAATTTACAAAATGATTTACAATGACTTTAAAATATACAAGAAATTCACACCTACTAATATCATCAGAAGTTAAGATGGAAAGGTCCAGGAAGAGTGAGATGACAAGACTGAGAAACAGTAGTATATTTTTACTCCAGTAAGTGAGGAATAAAAAAGGAGAATGTTATTCATTATGGCTACAGTTGACATTCAAGGGATTGGTGTTTGTAAACGGTGGGCACATCTACACATTTATTAACATGCTTAAAGTAATGCATATTAAATCTAATACCTCCATTGTAAAGTACTAGAACAATGCACATTAGTCTATTTTAATCCATGTTATCAAAAGAGCACTTTTTATAACACTTTAATGCACGTTAAAATAGGTTAATGAACGTTAAAGCGCATGTGTAGAAGTGCCCAATTTGTATTAAATGTTAGGGGCCGGATTTTAATCCTAGATTCATGGTACAAATGATCAAGTCTCTAAAATCATTTACTTTTGTGCTGGTTCAAGAAAGATGGTCTCATGGTTAAGGCAACGTACTTGAGATTGGAGTTTGTTTCTCAGCTTGACTGGAACCTGCAGTGTGACACTACACTACTGTCTCTATGCCCATTTCCCATCTTGAAAAAATATAGATAGCATATTTCCTTACCTCCACAGGACTATGGAAAGTATAAATATTTTAACTTAGGAAGTACTGCCCATACTATAGAAAATGACCAGGGTTTAAAAAAAAACACAACACTTACTGGTAGAGTGAGCATATGTAGCGATACAAGCTACACATCTGAGAATGACAAGTGTCGTAGTTTACATGTTAACATTTTTCAGTTGCAGTGTTGCCTGTGGGTCTGATCTAATTCACCAGAACTAAATGGAAAGGTTCCTGCTGACTTGAATGGATGTTAGTGTAGACCAGTGGTTCTCAACCTTTTTATACTGAAGGAGGACCTAAAGAAGAATGCTTTGCATTTGAAAGCTTGTCTAACTTTGGCTGGATACACACATTCAAATGATCTTTGAGAATTCTCCTGGGTTTGTTTTCCTGGTAGGAAAACTTACCCAGAGACCTCTGAACAACTATTTAAGTACTGACCCCTTGAAGAGCACTGCTTGCAGTGCTGTCATTGCATAGCCAAGGGAAGCATGCACATAGATCTTGGCATACTCCCTGCTCTGCCATCCCAAATAACACAGTCTCCTGGGGGGGGGGGCAGGAGGAAAGCAACCTGGAATGCTGGAGGACTGTGTTGTGGCTTCTGTAAGAATGGAACCATGTACAAACATTCTTCCTACCAGGAGAAACTCTCCTGGGAGTGATTTAACCATGGTTGTTCATGGGTTATTTTTATCCCGGAGCAGACATTATTGCTTTGGGAGAAAAATCCTGAACATTTTAAACACGTGGCTTCTATTGGAAGAACATTGACTCTCCTAGGAGAAACTGAATGTCTGTATGTGCCCTTTATCCCAATTGTACAGTTGGTCAATAAGATATTACCCCAAAAAATCCTTACCCCTCACATGATTTTTAGCAGTTCTCCTTGCACATATTATCAACTAGCACCACTTTATTTTTCCACTAAACAGCGCCACAGAAAGTCATTATTCTTGATAGTGTCCATTTTGAGAGTCATAGATCCCATAACTGTATAGAAATTAAGTGAACACTGAGTTATCAGTGTAGCACACTTTTATTTTGGTTGTAGTACCAAGTTATATAAAGGCAGTCAGTCCCAACTGCCTATGGTTCCTTTCCTGCTACCTTAGACAGCAAGTTTTTGACAAAATGTTGACTTAAATTATATTGCAGTACTAACCTTCTTCCCCTTTTATCCATTTATCTAGTTTATATTTATAATATATAAAAGCCACCTTTCTTAAGAAGAGTATACTTATTGATATTACTAACCAGATTTGGTCTGGCATGCAGTTCTAACCTATTAGCACGTGCTAATGGTAGTTCTGAAACCATTTGTGTTTGCTCTGCTGCCTGGTTAAAACTGATCCGTTGCATAGCAGATCGAGATAGAGTATCTAGATTAAGAAGGTGCAATTATATGGTAGTATCCACATGTCCAAAATAATTGAGTATACCAGATGTCTGGTATGAGTATACCAACCATTTTGGCAGTATCCATGGGCTCATATGCCCATGGGTGGAGCCTTCTCTGATGCACTGGAAATCCAGCATGTCAGAACAGACTTGATTAATCACGTCTGCTGGAGCACGGAAACTGACATGCTCCAGCAGCCTTCCACACCACGTGTATTAGCGTCCCAGCACATCTCTGTGCTGAAAAAATGGTGGCAGGGTGCTTTGAAATAAAACACGTTCGATGAGCTTTATTTCAAAGTGCCCCGCTGCCATTTTTTCAGTGCAAGGATGCTTATACATGTGATGCATGGGTACTTTTAATTAGTGTGGATTGCTAATTAAAGCGCCTGGCACCACATCCCACAGTTCATGTAAAAATGCCCCACATGTCCAAAATGGTTAAGTATACCAGTATACTGATGTCTAAGGAAAAGGTATTTGCCAAAATGAAGTTGAATTTGCTGTGGTTCAAACCATTCAGACATGGCTGGCCTAGCCTCTGAATCATATTGCACTTCAAAACTAAAGCATTCAAAGCAAAATGTAAGCCACTAGTACATTAATCTAACACTAACAAAAAGGTTAAAGCACATGGGTCCACAAGATATCTCTCTAAAAAAAAAAAAGTCATCACTTCCACTCTTCTCCACCCTTAAGTGGCACAAATATGGTTGGGTTAAGCAGAGGGAGTCAGTGTCTTAAGAACCATAACAGAAACAGGAACATCTAGAACCTGTTGATACCAGTGGGGTCTTTGGATCTAACAGAGGTAAGCACCAGGCTACCTACTTTCAGTGTCAGCATTCACTTTTGGCTCTTTTAGGTCCCTTGTACCTTTTTGCCAAAGCTATTGTGCCTTTTTGCTCCAAGAGACAGTGAAATCACTGTAGGCCACTGTTTAACACAATGGAACATCTTCCTTGTTTTGTCAGGGTCTCTTACAGTTCATTCTTCTATATCTCTAATTGAATTTTGCTTAGGAATTGTTTTATATAGGACAATACTCGGTATTAAGTGCTCCTTTTTTGGTTCAGATACTGTTCCTTAAATGTCTCAGTTGAGGGAGTCCATCTAAAACCATCAGATGTTCCTGTTAACTATATTTGGATAACTGGCTCTTCAAGGCCCAGTTCTACAAAGAACCTCTGCTTCCTGTTCAGGAATCTAGGGTTTGGAATAAACTAGAAGTCTAGTTTCATGTCCACTCAGAGATAAGTGTCTATAATAGAAATGTTAATGCCATAGTGGTAACTACCACACAAGATTACTTTATAGACATTCAAATAAATGTTGCCTGTAATGATATGACATCAAGGCAAATCTAGTATTTTCTAAAGCTCCCAGGTCTCATGAAATGTCATTACACTTATTTTCTTTGAGCCAGGCTCATCTGCACCTAATTACAGACCAGGCCTTGGAAAAACCAAAATCAGCTATTACATATGCCGTTAGGAAATCACCATCTTCATCAGGGCTGACTATATCTGACCTACTGGGTACTGTTGATCTTGTAATGCACTTTGGTAAGACTCAATTTTCCCTAAGATCTCCCATGAATAGTGATAGCAAAGGATGTCTCAAATCTGGTTGAGAACACCTTCTAGAAAATCCCAGTTTCACATCCTCTAACAATTTGTGGCTGTCCTAAGCTTTCCTCGTACAAAAGATGAACATTCTTGCAGAGTTGTGGTCTCAAGATGCAATTCCTGATGAAGTAATGAAGCCTTCTGCTTGTTACTGGAGTTTCCTGAGATGTATTCTCTCTCCTCTCACAAGCCATGGTTACCCATTCTTCTTTGCCTCTGGAGTTCTTACTTCCTGTAGCAGAAAGGAACTGAGGATGATTGGAGTCATGATTCCTTATATGACCTAGCACCAACCATTTTGATCCATGTAAGGGTTTTTGTGCAGTCTCAGTAGTCACTACATTTCAGATGATCCCAGGTTTCCCAACATTATGGCACATATTCCAAGACTGTGGATCTAAAGAAATAGTATACTTCGAGAACTCAGGTTACAGGTGGCACCATTCCTGATGACCATTTTGATTCCTTTAAAGTTTAATGATCCACAAATACGAATATAGAATCCCGACCAAGTTCAAAGAAACAAGAAAATTAGTGAACCAATCTTCCTTTAACTTACTAAGGATAAACACAGAACCTTTTAAATGTTTCAAAATATAATGGTGTTTGAAACATTTAAAAATGGATTGTTTCAGCATACAGGCCTTTGTCATGCTGGTTGACTGGCAACATCTTTCTACCGCATGTAGTGGCACGGTCTCCCAGAGGGGCTGGAGCTGAAGTCAGTGAGCCTGTCCCTTCCACCACTGCTCTTCTAGAGCACTCCCTGTTAAAACTGGAAGGCCGGAGGCCCCATCCTCACATTCGGTCAGAACCAGAAGTCCTGGAGACCTGGAGAGGTATTCTGCTATTGGAGGCTGGAGAGCAGGAAACCTGGGTCCTGGAGTAGGGGTATAGAGTGCCCCAGTACTGGGGGGGTAAAGAAGGTGATTGGCAATGGGAGCTTGTGGGTATGGTTGGGAAAGGCAGCAGCAGCCAGGATGTGGAGAAACCATGGGAGTTAGGAGAGCAGTGTATTTTGGGATGCCTGGAGGAAGATGGAACAGAACAATTCAGAATAGTATATACTCCCTCTAGGTACGTTTTTGTCACTCTTTTGGAGTGTTTTATGACCACTGCTATGACCCATTGCTATGACCACTGATTGTAGTACCATTAAAAATCGCATGCAACTGTAAACACAGTTTAAGTGTTTCTTCCACACCCCAAAGCTAAGCCGAATTAAGCTTGAAGCCCGGTTTTTTCCAGTACAGTCAGAAATATTAAGATTTTTTTTTTAGATAATGATAAACATGTTTAAAACATGTTGATTTTAGGAATGGTATTTTTACAAAATAAAAATGCGTACAATTTAACAGATTATACAAATGCAGTTAGTGCAAATCATGGCTACAATTATGGGACTGATCCCAAGGTCCACTGAAATCAATGCAATGCCCTTGAGTCCTAATGGAGAATCATTCGGAAGATAAATAAACACGTTTGTTAATGTTTTTACATTCTGTACGCACACACAGATGTTCAGTAATACATAGAATTTCTTCCATCTCCATTTACTCATTCAGATTAGCAGTCAACTTGATCTTGCCCTGAAGCAAGCTGTGGAATTGCCACTACTTACTGTTGATATTTAGAAGTACATTTATGCATGAATTTGCCAAGGACAGATCTCTTGAACTGAAACGCTATTTATGCATTTAGTTTTTGTATCTTATATTGCAGACAGAATCCACCAACGGCGAGAATCCAAGCATCAAGAAATCCCTCTTTCCTCTTTTTAATTCAAAGAATCATTTAAAGCATAGTTCTTCTTTGAAAAAGCTTCCTGTAGTCACTCTACCCATGGTACCAATTTTTAAGTACAGTAGCATTGAAAAACGCTCCAGTAAACTTGTTTTACTGACTACAACAGCATGTATTTTATTTTCATTGGGTCACTTTCTTTTCATGCCAGTTAAGTATCTTGGGCCAGTTCCATAAATTCAAGTTAAAACAGCAGTCCTAAATGGATTAAAGCTAAAAAAAAATCATGATTGAGTAGTATGAGATGTACTTAAAACAGAGTATATCTAGTTATTACAAGACAATGAGAGCCTGGGACCAAAATCAAAGGAGAGACCTTCTAAAATCAGTGGTGCTTAAAATTAGAGTGACCTCCTCATTCTGTTTGTACAGCAGATTAATGTAATTTGTTTTTTAAATATTTTGAAATATTTTTTTTTTATGGATCCTATTCAAATATAATCAATCAAATATTGTACCAGCAAGCTTGCTAACAAGTCAGCATTTATTTTACATCATTCTGTGTTTTTCTTTGTCCTAAATTTTGGTATTACTCTATTTTAAATTACTGCAGATTATTTCTGGATTTTGTTTTCATGATCTCTCTTCTCACAAAAAAGTGGTGGAATGAGGGGTTAATTCCCTTTATTTTAGGACATAATAAATAGCTTTAAATAAACAGCTACTTGAATACATTTAAGGATAGGTCTGTGCATGTAAATGTACATATACATGGAACAGTATATAGAGAACAATATGTTGAACTTGAATTTTGTGACAACAGGGACAATTGGTTTCCCCACATTTATAACACCAAAATCACTCAGGTATCCATTTAAACACAGTTTTGATCTTTATTCATGTAGGGCAAATTCTGTCTTTATAGAAGTGGCCCATGATCTTAATTGCAGTATGGAATGCTATTGAAATGAGGATAAGGCGCAGCAATTCTTTTCATAGGCTTATTCAACTGCTCTCTCTTACAGCAACTCACTAACAGCATGTGTATGCTTTAAGGGTTGAGGTTAGAGTAAATCTGCATGATACCCACAAATACTGTTCTTACTGCGGGGGAAAAAAATGAGGGCATTGCAATACAGCTGCACTAGTGGGCTTCTCCTGCTTTATATAATTAACTGGAACTGGGGGGAAATGGTTGTTACTTCTCTTAAGAACTTACTGAAATCCCCATTTATTATTATGTTGCAGATGCCTAGCAGTGATGGTCAGGATCTTCTGGCATTACAAAAAGCCATTCACTCTTCTAATCACCAGGTCAGCCGGCAGAAGGATTGGCATCCTGAGAAGATGGCAGAAATCCAAACTCATGTAAGTAACAATATCCACTACCTTCACCCTGTTATCAGTGGTGTGCCTTAACAGTTTCTTCCTGTAGTGAATAGAAGAATTGCTTTTGAATGATCCCTCCCTATTCCTCATTGAATTTAAAGAGGGGTCTTGTAGCTACAATCCTGTATAATTCTTTGGGAGGCAAGGGACATGTGAGAGGCAGAAAAACAGTGTACCACAATCCACACGCTATAATTACCATCTGGCAGAATACCACAGCTCTTCCTCTCCCCAGCTCCTCACATACATATACCTTCCAATTCAGGACAGGCCCTGATTCAGGAAAGTGCCAGTAGGACTGGTAGCAAAAGCAATTTAAAAATCCAAGATGGAGGAAATAGCCGCAGTAGTCTTCATAACTGTGATGAAAAGGGTTATGTGGGTTGAGGAGTCCTTTCAGGAGAGAGAGACCAGACAGGACTTGTTGGGGAATCCCAAGGTAGAGCTTCCCTTGAAATGGTGTGGTCTGCGACAGTAATGTTTTTGTATTAACAGTGCTTTTAAACAAAAGCCTTAGAGATCTGAAAAAAAGACAGAAAATTTCTGTTGCAACTATCGTGTTTTAAAAAAAAATGGGAGGCCAAACCGTTTTCTCTTGTAGTCAATTAATCTTCTTAGACCACATACTACACAGTAATTATAATTGCCAGGCCTTTTCTATCTGTCACATGCACTGTGGACAAACCAGTCAGTGGATTGAAATGAAATACTCAGGATTAACAAGTAGTAAAAGTGACAAAGTCCTGATGTTTTTCAAAGTTCAAATTGTTCTTTTTAAGATATGACTGAGAAAGTTTTGCAGTAGACTGCTGGTATAACAATAAGGCATAAGACCAACAAAGTGGTTTCCTCTATCTTTCAGAGCCAACCTTTAAAATCCCTTCGAAAGCTATTACATCTCTCTTCCTCTTCAAATCATCCTGTTCCTCCTGAGCCCCGCTTCCAGCCCTTGCCTACTCAGCCAGCCAAAGCTACTTTTTCTGAAGTGCGAATTCATCCCATGAGTCAGACTTCCAGCAGCAGCAACGTCCGGCAGGAGTCCCAGTCAAAAGGCAGACCGACACTCCAGATACCGGGTCAAATGGAACAAACATGGCATGTCTCCCCTGTGAACAGGAGCGCTAATGAGGGAACACCTTACACCGATCAGCTGCCTTCGAAGAGTGGACAGAATGGACACACGTATAACCGAACAAGCCGATCGCGAATGCCAAATCTGAATGATTTAAAAGAGACAGCCTTGTAATGGTACTCCAGAAAATATGCCAATTCCACGTGGAAACTTGAGTAGGGGTGTTGTGGTGGTGCTGGTGATGGTAAGACTGCATTTTCAGCTTTATAAAGGTGTGCAATATGTACATGTGGAGCTAGCCTGTTTGGCACCACATTGCTAGTCAGGGATCAAACAGTAAAACAAGTTGAATTATTAATTATCAATCATCAGAAATCTCATTCAATGATAGATGGAGTGTGCAATTCAGGGAGAAGAAATGTATTGCCATTTTCTCTCATTTACATTCCAGCTCAGTGCACATCTCTGTCTCAAAGCTGGAGAAGTTTAGGTATGCATTGGCACTTATAGGGTGAAAAAAAATAGTGTCTAGACCTATGCCCTTACTACATATTTTGCTGCCTAGTTAAACAGTGGGGTTTATGTGATAAGTGTATCCCTGTTAAGGGTTTAAAGTTGAATTGTATGTCTTAAATTTGTTTTTTAAACTTCCATATTTGATAGAATTTGTAATATTTATTTATGATGAACCAATATCGTACTGTTATAATCATATCTTTTATGTTCCAATGTAAAGTTATTTTGAGCTGTTTGAAACATTGTGAAGCAGTGCAACAGCTACAGTAGTTTCTATTAAAAAAAAAAAAAAGAACTAACAGTAACATTTATATATTGCATCAGGAGTATTTTATTCTATACATAAATATATATAAATGGTAAATAACTGTCTGTTTTTTAAATATACTCATTTAAAAGAAAAGTATTGTTATGACACTATCTGCCATATTTTTATACATTTGTGATATAAAGTGCAGTATTATACTTCTAATAAAAGAAAGTTGAATGTGGATATGTGTGACTGTAACAGTATGACTCTTGCTCCACTATTAGAGCACAGTATTATAGGCATTATTGTCAGTAGCAAACAAAATAGAACACTCCGTTCCAAATTTTATTATAGGCTACTTGTTGGACGTAATGGCTAGATGTAAGAGACTACAGAACTGTACAGTAATCTAAATGCGGTATATTCTCCCCTAAGTGTGCACTTTGCTTCCCCATTAGTGTGACGGGAATTATGCATCTGCATCAAAACCATAAAGTTCTAATAACACATCTGAGACGGTGCCCCTTGGCCACAAGCTAAAGCAGATGCTCTTCCACTTAATTGTAGGGGTGAAGACCAAAGAAATATAGCATGAGTTGCAAGTGAAATGCCAAAATTGTGACATGTACACATAGCATGGCACTGCAGATCATGGTATAAGCTTTTTTGCATACATATATTTTACATTTTGTTTAGAAGTGTATTTAACTAGAAAGATAAACCTTGTACTTAAATTTAAAATACACTTGCACTTTTTTTTTGGTTTCAGCTAGTAAACTAATGATATTCAAATGTAGAAGAGGGAAGGTTGCCAGGCAGCTTAATTTCTCTTTGGATTCTCACTACTAGAACATTCCTATTCACAGTTGGTTTCCATTTCTACAAAATATTAGATCTGAGGTTCATGGCAATTCAAAGAGCTGCCTTTAAAACGAAGGATTTTATGCATAACAAATGCAGGGTCTGGTTCCCCTCTCTTACACTGGGGTAAATCAGCAGTAATTCACAAGTAGTCAAAGTTGAACTAGTGTAAATTTGGCTCAAGTGAAAGGAGAATCTTGCTTGTAGTGTCAGAACAATACAGTCTTTCCTATATTTGAACTCAGCACTTCACTTCTTACATTACTCTGAAGTGTAGTTCAGTTTTTGTGAGTTGTCATTGTAATAATTGTGCTTACAAGTATTCTGTCCTTTCCAAAAAGAGACTAGTCTAAACATGAATTTGATATTCCAACCACAGAAATAAATGCAGATGTAGCCAGCTAGCTCCTCCTTCATTAGCAGTGCAGAAGGACATTAAGTTCCATACCTCCCAATCATACCAGCATTCTCAGACCGTACTACAATACAATTGGCATCAATACTTGTAAAAGATGGCAAAATATAGAGTACAGTGTGAAGTATGGTATTTCAGGTTTTCATAGGACAAAAGCAGTCAGTAATTCTGACTAGCAGACAGTAAAACAAGAATTCTTTATTCCTCTATTGCTGTAAGAAATGTCCATGTGTTTTTTCATATGATATAGAATATAGGGAAACATTACATATTATGTAAAATATACCAGTGAAAGGGTGCTTTTATGTTTGGATGGGCACAGTGGACATCTGAGAGAGCATCTGAGGTTGTTCTTAACTGATTATCATTGTAGCTATTTGATTTATAATATACTGATTGTAACCGTTTCAAAGAGAGGTCTTTCTGTATCCACCAGTTCACTATGGTTGAGTTAGCTCTGCTCTCCAGTAGGAGCTGACTGATATCCTAGAATTCCCCTACAAAAACTTTGGTGTTAGTTTGAGAATGGGGCTCTAAGCAGTACCATATGAATGTCTGCAGGACTGGTAGTGTTCAGATTTGGCTAGTCTGTCCTTCACATTCTTTCCTTTTTCATTGAATAATACAGCACTTGCATTTTGTCTCTAGAAGACTTCTTACTTAGCTGGTAGGAGCTTCACGCTTGGATGATTGGTCATTATGGTCATTCTGATTCATAGCAGGAATTAAAACTTCCAGTGGATTTTCACTCAGCATCCACTGAGCTAAATAAGAGTGATTACTGATTGCACCTTCAGCTGTTTAAAATGCTTATTCCAGATTCAAGTTTGAGCCAGGAGGCAGACAAAATAATTGATGGTCCAAAAACATGAAGCTCTTGCCACCCTACACTGCATCTTCCTCTTTAGAAACTTCAACAAGCCTTGATAAAACTGAACAGTAAATTGAGTTGACTGTATGTAATTCTCTTCAGTCTATTTGAAGGGATGATGAACTTCTCGTTTAGCCAGCTGGTGTCAGAATAAATGTTCTCATATTTTCAGCTGGGTCTGAATTCCCAGCCTTTAGTGTATTGCTCATATAATTTTACTAACACTTAAAAAGGAAACTTCCTAGGATTTTTGAACTTCTCTAGCTCACCAAAAAAGAGAAATGTATCATAGAGGAATCTATTTTTCAATGTGAGCCTTTCTCCTGACTGAGGTCTCTTGGTCTAATTTTGTTGTATTATATATATATTCTGTAGATTGACTAAGGATAAAGCAGATAACTTAGAGAGTACGCTTTCTCTTCCTCAGCAGTCTGTTTTGCCTTATGATAGTGTACTAATGTGAACATAAAAGAAATGAATTTTCAAAAAGATAATTAAGGTGGTTTGTTCATCTCGGGCTGCCTCAGCTTGCCTGTGAGTTGGTAGGATTTAGTTGGCTCTTGGAAACTGAAATGTAGGCTCTTTACTTGCATCTTAATTAAAATTGTACTCTGTACCTGGCTATAAAGTATCTTCGCAGACTGTCATTAAAATTTGCTTGACTAGATGCCCAGTCTTGTTGCCAATCTTGACCGTGGTGATGATGAAAGAATTACAGGAGTTATGTTTTATTTTCATTTCAGACAAAAAAGTGAGCCATTCTGGGCAAATGGGATTTTCCACAGCAGTGTGGAACCATTCTAGGCTTTTCTCCACCATCTCCCTCACAGGTTCTCTTTCCTTTGGAGCACACCACCTCTGTCTGAGCAATAGGCAGAGCTCATCGCTTGAGAAGATAACACTCCCTGCTCCGGTAAGGTCTGCCTACGTCCTTGGTACACCCTCCCAGTACCGAGCTCAGGACCAACTTCAAACTCTGATTTCTTATGTCAAATCAGACTTAGGGGGTATGATCTGAACATATGGGGTGTCTATACACGTGCTCTGGGGTGGGGGACGGGCCTTTTAATTAGAGAGGCTCCCGGACGGTCGCTGTAATTAAAACGCTGCAGTGTCACAGTGTTCAGCGTCCTGCGCTTCAAAACAGGGGTCTTTTATCTAAAGTTCATTCATCAAGTTCTAGTTAAAGTGCCTCTGCCACCATTTTGAAATGCGAGATAGTGAATATGTGACGCTGCAGCGCGCTGTAGCGTTCTCATTAGAATGCTGCAGCAGGCTCGCTTAATCGAATTGGAACATGTCAGAGCACAGGTATATGCACCCATGGGTGCTAATGTCACTGCATTGCAATGCATGTTTACAAACTACCACATTTCTAGAACTAAGCATAGGCGGGCCTCAAATTTCTATACTTGTAATTTTTCTTCAGATAATTTTAGACTTCTTATTTTTCTCTCCGTCAGACAGGTTTCTGGGAGCAAAGGTAGGTTACAAGTTGATGTTCTGGATCAGTACTACTGAGGATGCTTGAAGCATCACTACAATTTGTGCCAGTTGGGTGTCTGTGGAGAATCAATCCAAGGTAGTTTAGAAAGTCACAAAATAAAGATCAAATTTTTATTTTCCTCAGAAATCTTTATAAGCATTATTTTAAATTTCTGCTGTTGTTAGCCATTAAAAACTTGCCATTTACCCTAAGTAATTTGCAGTGTTTTAGGCATTCCTTCTTGTAGGGTTACTGTGGTTATGTTAATGGTGGATATATTGTTGTCATCTCTGGCCTTACCTAAGGCAGCATGGGCATGCTTTTAAGAGTGACTACCAGCCAGAAAGTGCTTTGGGTTCCTATTCAAGTTACGGTTGTTCAGGTTCTTAAAAGATAATGTAAATGAGGCAAACTTTGAACTTATGTACATCCCATTGATTATATAAATATTGTAACTGTGCATATTAGAGTAGAGCTATAATATTTTGAATCCAGATTGGACAGTCCCAGAAGGAATATTTTGAAAAGCCATAACAATGTGTCACAAAGTTTGTGGGGATTGTGAAAATCTAATTTCTTCTGTGTCAATTGGTGTACAGTATACATCAAAAAATGGGACCACTTGGTACACTTTGCAGCTTTGCTGCTGTACAGTTCATGTAAATAGGCCCAGCAAAACTTTAAGGCACAGAAGACATTAAGGGGAAGTACCCCATTAACCATTTATAAATCTCCTTCAAATCAGGTTACTATTCTTGGAACAGGTGCCTTTCCCCTTCCAGTGTGTCCCTATTTGTGTCATAATGTTGATTACTTCATAAACTGGGATTTGTAGTAAATAAGGAGAAAAGCCATTTAACTTCTTTCAAGCCTTTTTCTTATATTTTGGAAGCAGTTTGAATAAACGCTTTTAATACAACATAGCCTGGGTGTTTCTAAGAGAAGCTAGTTCCCCTTTTTTTTCTTTCTAGTGCCAAAAAGTAATGGCACATCTTGCCAAAGGCACTTCAGCCTGGCGATGACCTGCAAAGTTCTGATTTAGATGCTATGAGAGAACTGTGGGTGTTTTCACTCTTTATTTAGGACCCAAAATGACAGGAAGAATTGTAAGTAAAGTGCTGATTTAAAAAAATAAAGGGGAATATCTACTTTTGTTTGGGAAGACTCTTGGTAGAAAATCTTTTGCCCCAGTGGCCTCCTTCAAACGGGTACTGTGTGAAATAGCAGAGGCAAGTCTGATAGAGTAAGTTATCATTTATCTGTTGTTGAATGGCTGTTGTTCATTAGTAAGGGTATCCTTGTGTTTGTTTAGTTGGTTGGAGCAAGGGGGCTCTTTGAAACAATGACAAAATGTGGGATGCGCAAGATTTGTTTTAAAATCAACCCTCTCTGTGCAGTGTCGGTTTGGATGCTCTCCCTCCATTAAATCAATGTACTGTGTTGCTGCTTCCCAATCATTCTGTAAAATGTAACTCAAAATATACAGCCAGATAAATAAGACTTTGTGTCTTGGCCCAATGGACTTGACTAAGAGATGAGGGACATGGTTTATGGACCTCTCCTGTCCTCTCTAACAGTCGATCTACCTCCTCTCTGTCATGAAGTGGTCAAGGTTCGCTTTGTTTGCCCTCAGTTTATCACTGACTTCCCATTCTACAACTTTTACAAGAGAAGACCTATAAAGGATTCCATCTTATACTTTTTAGGACAGGAGAATTAGGTGCTATTAGGAGCCTAGTCAGAATTTCTACAGGCCTTCATCTGGATGTGCTTCTAAATCAGCTCAGTTTCCCTCAGAATCTTGCTATCCTTTGCACTGCTTTGCAGTCTTCCCATTGTATTCTCCATTTATTTCCTTATAGTTTTCAAATATTGAAGTTGCCTTGTTCTTTGCTATTGCTCTAGTGCTGATTATCAGGGAGACAGAGGCCTTATCTATTACTCCACCCTGTGTGCTGTTCTACTCAGAGACAGCTACCCTTAGACTTGCTCAGGATTTTCTTCATTCTAAATTTTTCATTCCATCCAAGGGAGAGATCTTACCTCCTTTTGCCCCCCTCCCATTCCCCACAATCATTCTCTATGACTTTTTGTTTGAATTTTATTCTAGAAGCAGCGCAGTTTTTACAGGGAATTGTTCCTTGTCTAGTTTGAGGAAAGCCTCAGCAATGTAATGTACAGGCCTGGGAATGGTAGGTCACAGTAACAGATTCCATGCAATTTCTGGTTAGACCAAGCTAAAGCATATCCACAATATAGAAAATATGAATTTCTGCAAATCTCCGGTTGTATATGAAGCCCTTGGTATGAGCTTTTGGAATATAAGTTGGGTAGCAAAGAGAGTTGATTGCTGTTTAGTACAAAGCTAAAACATAGGCTGTATTCAGATTGCTATGTCCCCCACAGCAGTTTTTTCTTTTGCTTGTTTTTTGATAGTGCATATTGTTCGTTAGTAAGGGTATCCTGGTGTTTTCATCATATTGGAGGATACATCTGATCCAAAGGAGTAATTTCTGACCTATAAATTTGGATAATGTGGAACAGAGATAATGAACTAAAATCCTCCCTGAAAGTGTAATTGTATAGAATAATCCATTGAAGGTTTTTTTCAATTCTGTTTAATATATTAGGCAAATCATTCAAGACTGCTTAGATCTCCACTGTCAAACAATGAATTGTGTGGTTAAAAAGGAGAAGGGAAGGAGAAAAGATCTAGGCTCGGAGACCTTGATAGTGTTTCCCCCTTTGCCAGAGCTGGCTATACCAAAAGTAACAGACTGTGGAGGTAGTTTTCCAAACTTCCAAATTTATTGGTAAAAAATTACCCAACTTCATTAGCTGCTCTTAGAAATTCTAAAATGCACAACATTTTAAACCTACCATGCTTTCTATTGTGGAAGGGATGTGATGTGATGTTAACCTGTTTAATCCTTGAATACATTGATTTTAAAATGTGTTGAATATTTACAGAATTCTTCACACAAGTTAATAAACCATTTGTAAAGTGTTTATATACTATTCTTTGTATCATGTTGTTGGTACACCTTATCAACTTTTTTTCGGGCATGTATTCCATTCTTAACTTCTGTACAATTTCTATTGTTGCTGTAAATATAAAAGAGAAAAAAAATCCTGTGGTAACCTTAATTATCAGCATGGAAATGGTTAATTTTTACTGAGCACAATGTATTTTTGAATGGGCCTTCCAAAATATGTCTTTAATAAAATGCAGGTTTTGCACTAGAAAACTGAGGTTGTTTGGCTTGATGTTACTCAAAAAGGGTGCATGTACACACCACAGGTTTTAATCCTCATTAAATTAAATAAGTTTATAAATTTTAAACTTGTTTATTTTGGAGTGTCGCATCTGTGTTTACACGCACTATGTTTTCAAACAAATTAAGCCGGGTCCCTGGCTGGTGCCAGAGGAGAGCAGGATGGCCCAGGGCCCCCCACCCACCCTGTGCCCATGCCCTGCTACACAGCTGTGGAAGCATGGAGCTGGCAAACCACACAAGAAAAAAAGAAAAAGCCAAAGCAATTCGAAAGCAAAAGCAATTTGAAGGACTGAACTACAAAAAAGTCACAGCGCCATTTGTTGGACAAAGAGGCTCATTACACATCTTGGAGTGCCTTTGTGTTTGCATGCAATGAATCTATGGATGCAGTGCTTTAATTCCCAGTGAGCCAAGCTAAACTATATCCAAGGCGTTTTAGTTTAATGCACAAGAAAGACTTTTAAAATGTCGGGAAATCCCGCTCATGCAAACAGACATACATTTGCAGCACATGAAAGGGCAAAAATCATAGCGTCTACATGCAAAGCATTTAATACACAAGCGTTGAATTCCCTGTAACGTGTCAACTTACATCTAGCTCTTCTTTCTGCCACCAAGGTCAGGGGCATTAATCCAGATTGTCTGGATTGTGAAAAAAACCTGGCATTTGCCTCAGTAAAAATGCCTGTTGCTTGACCCTGACGGCTGCCTGCTGTGAGGTGCTGGGTTGCGCGTCTCTTCCTGAAAATTCTTAGCCGACGGGCTTCAAGGTAGACCATACCTCTTACCAGTGTTGTGCTTGAATTTTCTAGGATGGTACACAGAGCAGTACTAACACACCTCCACTTCATACGCAGCATTTCTGGGACCCTGTCCCTTAATTGGTACCAACCCACCAATCTT